GAAACAACCTTTTCTAACCCTCTTTTACCACCAAGAAGATAATATCAGCTTCGTACTGCTGGTCGTGCGCAGGAAATACCTTACTGCTATCACACACCCTATTCAGCCAGCAGTCTGACTTCACTCTCAGAGCCCCATTAACAGGCCTTTCTAGCATGGTTGGACCGCGAGAGAACAACTGTTTCAGTCAGTATAGCTCGTTGGGTCATAGTGATACGCAAACTTGAACATCATGTTAAGACAACAACTATTGGACGGTTTCACGAAGTAATGCTTTAAGCTGAAACCATCCATTTAAGCAAATGGCGACAGAGACTAAAAAGAGATATGACATAAATGATTACAGGTGTTAGTGGTAGAAAATCAAAGATGAAGACCAGACGAGATGAAGAGAATAGAGATGAGTGGCATCACGATTTCAGAATTGATACAGTATAAATACATATATGCTGTTCTAACTAAATCTGAAGCAGAATAATTAGTTTTAATCACATTCCAGCCATTTTTCAAACATCAGGACTTAGTTTTTTCGAATAAAGGATACGGTAAAAATAATATTCACCCTCGCAGAAAAACTAAAGTATCGTTAGATGCTATTAGAGGGAAACTACGATATACTGACGGGACGATTTGATGGAATCACTGGTCTAGACAACCCAATACTCACCAGGTTCATAGTTCGCCTCACAATCTTAGATTTAGTTTGGGTAAATGAGAAAGTGTAAATCAATGGCTTTGGACTGTATAGTAAGACTCAAATTCATTGAAATAATATAATTTCAGATTAGAGTTCATTTGCTTCTATGCTCTATAAACTAACTGTATGCGTTTAGTGCTGCTTACACTATTCTCTCTTCATCATCATCATCATCATTATCAACATAGGACCAGGCATTACTGCGTAACGGTCCGAGTTGCCACACCTCATATCAGCACATCAAGTAAAAAGGTAGTGAGGTGAAGGATGAAGATAAGTGAATGCAGTCAAAAGAAATATAAAGTACGAGAAGAAAGGAAAGAGGAGTGACAAAATAGTGAGATTCGGTATAGCGTTGTTAAGATGAGGATAATGTGTGTATACATCTGCGCCACTGACTTCGGTTCTGAGCCATATCACCTAGGGTCTCCAACCACTGGTTCCTCTTGTCCCGTGGACCCCAACCACCTAGTCTGCATCGTCCTACATGGCTTAAACCAACAGTCAGAGACTTCATACATTGGTGCCATGTTTTAGTCTGGCCACCTCGGGCCTTTTTCCAGCCTGAACCCACCTCAGCCAACATTGTGTGACGAGGCAATCGGTGACTAGGCATACGTAGTACGTGTCCCAACCATCTCAGTCGATGAAGGTTCACAACCTCGTCGACTGACTTACCTCTTCTCCCTAAAACTCTACACCTAACTTCTGCATTACTCACATGGTGACACCACGGAATACGTCCTATACTACGAAGGCAACGGTGGTCAAATACCTGTAACCTTCTCATGTCTTCCACTTTCAATGGCCATGTTTCACAGCCATACAGTAGAACAGAGCGGACTGCTGTGCAGTACACGCGACCCTTAATAGACAAACGAATATCACGGCGGCGCCATAGGTGGCGCAAATTGGCAAAAGCCAATCGAGCCTTTTGTATCCGTGCAGAAATCTCATCGGCAACTAACCCACCGGGTTGATCCTACTTCCCAGGTAAGTGAAGTGGTCAACACACTCAACCACTTCACTCTCTATTGTTAACCGCGGTACCGCTGAAGACCAGTCCTGGAGCAAAAATTTGCATTTGGGTGGTGAAAATCGCATCCCAAACATTCTCAAATTCCCACTCAAAGTGTTCAGAAGACTCTGCATCTTGTCAGCGTCTTCACCTAACAGGACTATGTCATCTGCATATTCTAGATCTAAGGAAAATTCACCTGTGATCCGGTCAACGTCTTTGTAATTAGGTGACGAGAGGGAAACCTCCATAAGAATATCTATGATAAAATTAAATAAGAATGGGGATAGTGGGCATCCTTGACGGACACCACTTGATGAGTATAGCTCCCTGGACAACTCACCATAGGCTCTAACATGCCCACAAGTGTTCGAGTAGAGAGCTTTCAATAAGGTGATGTACTTACTAGGCACGCCTTTCAGTGACAGACACTGCCATAAGACTTCTCGATCAACGGAGTCAAATGCCGCCTTCAGGTCGAGAAATACAGCTATTGTCGGGCGTCTGTAAGCATGCCTATGTTCCAGGACCTGGCGCAGTGTGAATATTTGGTCGATACATCCACGGCCAGGTCTAAAGCCTGCCTGGTTTTCTCGGGCTTGCTGTTCCCGAGCTCCACTCAGGCGTCGGAGAATTATAGAACTTAGGATCTTAGACACTATGTTTGTCAGGCTGATTCCTCTGTGGTTATCACAAGAGGACTTCTCGCCTTTCTTGAAGACTGGGATGATGAGTGACTTAGACCAGTCGGAGGGGATCGTATTTGATTCCCATATACTGGCTAACACTTCCGTTAGCCTGACTAAGAGAACTCTACCACCATTCTTGTATACCTCAGCAGGTAGTCCGTCTGGTCCTGCTGCCCTTCCCCGTTTCAGGCTACCTACCGCTTTCTCAACTTCTTCTAGTGTTGGGGGACCTGTCTCTATGTCCCATTCAGGGTCCGACTGGATAGCGGGCAGCGCAATGGTGGCTGGAGGCCAGTTAAACTGTTCCTCAAAGTGTTCTGCCCATCGTCCCAGTCGCCTTCCCTGCGAGTGAATCGCCGATCCGTCCTTCTCCGCTATAACCTCACTAACTGTTGTTGACCATTTCCCCCCAGTCTCCTTAATAAGTCTAAATAACTGTCTACTGTTACCGATCGCCGCTGCCTTTTCCATCTCTTTAGCCTTTGCTGCCCACCACTGTTCACGATCGTTGCGCAGACTTTTCGTCAGTTTATTTTTAAGTTGCGCTCGCTCTTCATTGTACTCAGAGCCTGCAGGGATGCATTCACGTGCATCCATTAGTTTGGAAGAAGCTGCTGATATCCACTGGCTCTTTTTAGCCATTATCTTGGAGTCGGCTACAGTCTCCAGTGCTGCTTTTACAGTAGACTGAAGATGGCACCAAGCTTCTTCTGGATGAGTGACAGTCTTTTGTTCCGATAACTGCCTAGCCAACTTCTCACTGAACACGGCTTTGGTGTTTTCGTTGTCCAGCAGAACTCGTAGTGGTTTTGTTGCCAAATTTTTTCTACGTCCATTGAGACGCAGGCATATACGTGCTCGGACCAACGCATGATCGCTGTCCAAACACGTACTCCAGAAGGAGCGGCAGTCTTCCACCGATCCTCTCCAGCGATGACTAATAGCAATGTGGTCTATCTGTGTCCATCGCTGAGTCGAGCTCGGTGGACGCCAGGTCAGACAGTGCCTTTCTTTATGTCTGAAATTTGTGCTGGCTAAAAATAGGCGGTTATCTGAGCATAGTTGTAATAGGCGATCACCGTTATCTGTACGTTCAGCTGGGATTCCGAAAGTGCCACCTAAGTGCCTTTCTGCCTCACTCAGTCTACCCACCTGTGCGTTGAGGTCACCTGCAACAACCACCAGTCCGAACGTTTGGCTTTCGAGAGGAGGTTAGACAGTTTATGGTAGAACTCGTCCTTCACTTCATCCGAACTACAGTCAGTGGGTGCGTAAGCAGAGATTACAAAGAGACAACGGCGAGTCTCACTATTCCTTTTAGTTCTCACTGTGCCGTTCAGCCTCATAGCGCAGAGGCGACTATCAACTGGGATCCAGTCTAGTAGTGAGTTTTCTGCCCTGGTGCTTAATGCTATACCTACACCTGCAAGACCACGAGAGCTAGCTATCGAATCTCCAGAAACTCGAAGGGTGAATTTTGCAGATTCACCAGATTGGTCAGGAGAGGTCAGGTGAATAACCACACTTGGGTCCTGTATGCGTGTCTCACAAACACAGCACACATCCATGCCCGAGTTGCTAGAGTCTTTGCCAACGAAGCCTGTTGGCCAATTTGACGGAGGGTGCGGACATTGAAGGCTCCAATATGTAATTTGGAGCGTGGTTTAAGGAGACCAGGGACACTGTTCTGTGGACTCAGATCGTTGTCGAAGGCTGCAGAGGTAGGAGAAATTGAAGATGATGCAGCATCATTAATTAAGAGACGTGAAGGAAGATTAGAAGGTAATGATGGAGGAGGAGGATAGCAGTCAGAAGAAACTTGGGTGCTGACAGAGTTGTGAGGGCGGTTGACACTTCCCGGCTGCCCACACCGTGGAAGGCTATTTCTTCTTAAGGTACCTGAAAGAGATTTGTGTGACCGCAGAGCCCATCGGACATCTGCTTGAGGCCTGTCACACCCAGCCTTTTGAGTATGATTATTTTGAATTTTTGTATTTTTGGGGCCGGATGAGCGAAAGGAAACGACAAGTGAACCAACACCGCCGGCCCGGCAGACCGTGGGGCGTGGTGGAGTGTGTTATTTTTGGGGCCGACCTTTTCTAACCCCCCCTTCCACTGAGAAGGCAGCATCAGCTTGGCACTGCTGGTCATCCAAGGGAAACACCTTACTGCTGTCACACCCCATCCAGCTAGCAGCAGTACGACTTCGCCCTCAGACCCCCATCATAGTGTAGCAATTTACACTATGACGGTAACTGCTTTTCGTCTAACCACTACCCAACAGACCTTTCTGGTATGGTAGGACCTCGAGGGAACAAGCGTTCCACCAGCATAGCTCGTTGGGTCATTGTGATATGCAAGCCCGACCACCACGTCAAGGTAGCAGCTATCGGTCGGGCTATTCTCTCTTACCACCCTTCATCCTTCTCCGACTACTTATAGTACTTTTCCCTGTTGACCTGAATAGATTTTTTAGTAGTTCCCCTCAATTCTGTGAAAAAGAACACATTTAAAGAAATATCGCAATGTTGCAGCTGCTATGCTGAGTTTCCCCGACTAAACTCACGTAAATACATAAAATATGGGAACGACTTACTTGATTCGTCGCCCTCCAGAAAGAAATAAGCGTCGGATCATAGCGTTTTCAATTCAGGAGATAAGAACAACCTAAGAATTTAGGTGCAATAAGAGTTATGAACCATTTAAAAACCAATGTACAAAACACATGCTTACTTCAGAAGTTGTATTTACAAAAATTCAGTAATACAGAAACAAGTTAGTTACTATTTACGTTGCCAATAGGATCACATTCTTGAAATGCTGTGTCAGTCTGATGTAAAGTTACCTGTAGAAGATGTAAACGCAACATGATGCTTTCTTGAACAGTAAGTTCTGACTTTAAACGATTTCTTTCGCTAGCACTACACGGGTTACTCAAGGTCGTCTCAAGTGTAAAAGTAAGAGTTTGGCATTGGGTTATGCGTTGCTCTAAACGCGACTTTAAATTACGCATAAATTTTCTGAAGTAGCTGTTTTCTGCATCAGAAGTATGCACCAAAATGTTGAACAATGTGTGGGCTGATGATTCCGGATATGCTTTAAAGCGGATGAATATATACAGTGCTAGGTTTAAGGCTGCCAAAAGCCAACAACTTTCATCAGTTATATCTTCTTGTAGACAATGTGGCAGTGGATACAGGAATATAAGGTGGAATATATGACTGATTTCTGTGTAACATGCTTCAATACTGTTCTCTGGGTCGGCTATCTTATTCTGAGCTTCTGAAGCATCCTTACTTGTAATAATGACTCCATGTAAGTGATTTTTAAATAAAGCGATCATGTGTCCACGCCAACCGTAATGTACGTTACCATGATAAGGTTCAAGGAATTTGGCACAAATGTGCAATCGTGCAAGAAAGGTTGATGACAAAACTAGTTGTTCAATACATTTAATAACTTGTGTAATATAACTTGGTAAGGTTTCTGTGGAAACAGGTTCAACAGCAATGACCTGCAGATATTCTATCAACCTAAGACGCTCGGAATTCCACCACAAGTATGAGAGAGAACAGCGCTGTCTTCTGAGTAGCTTTTCAATGATAAGAACAGCAGTACTTCGTATTTCTAGATATTTGTTTCCACAAATCGGGTGGTGGATTACATCCACTCCACAACAGTTACAGCTGCCAAAAATAGTTCTTTCTTGGATTTATCAAGTATGAAGAGAACAATAGGAAACACTAAGTCGATGGCATGTTCATGAGAAAAAACTAATGGCCAAAACCTGTATGGCTTATCTTTATCATCCCTGATCAGAAAATAATCAAGTAATTGCAACCAACCGGGTACGTAAACAGATGCGACAGTTTTTTGGCACGTAGGCGAATTTCGTAAGTTCATTAGTAATTTACAAGATGATAAATAGAATGTGTACAACCCCTACATATAGTTGAGAGATCTTCAACAAAATGTAACAATAACTCCTGTTTGCCTTCAGAGTGCGTAAACAACAACATGGATGTCAAATATAAAGAATGTTGCCTCAAAAATGAAATATCTGCAGAATTTAGAAGTCCGACTGAGATGTTTGAAATCACCTTACGAAGCACGTCCTCTGTTGCTCTCAGTACAAGAAACAATTCGTCACCGACAAGGTCTTTCGCAAATACTTCACATGATTGAAAAATTCCTTTGATGCGACGGAAACGATTAAACCCAACTTTCGGAGCACAAATGGATGCCGACTCAAGAATGTGAATGAAAAACGCTACGTTGCCAGGGGTTTCTAGATATCCCTGCATCGAAATGAGACATTCCTCAGAATAACATGAGGAAGAGAGCTCGTCTAAACTTTCCTTGAATAAAAGAAGCAAAGATGAATTATCCGAAACACTAAGTTTTTTAATCCAACCAACAAGCCATTCGATGACATAAAGAATATCATTGTCAAGAAGGCTTGGCAATATTAGCTTTAAGTGCTGCCTAACGCACTAACATCGTTACATGCAGCATACTCACCAATGAGAGAACACAAGTTACTCACAGTACTACTAACCACCTCCCCGACCATAAGAGTACCGCAAAAGATAAATATTGCGCCATCCCAATATCATTAGTCAGTTATAAGGATAGTAGGACAACTGACCTGCCTTATTCCTTGCAGCAGGTTTTTCTGTGAAGGTCTATTTTCGTCTTGAGTTTGTTCTGCGAAGGAGCTGATATCACTTGTTCTCGTAAGGAGTTCCAGTCGTTGGTTCCCCTATGTGCGAAGTGCAAACTGGGGCTAAGTTGATTTGACCGTGGTTATTGCATTTTCCTGTGGGAGTCTGGAAGATTGTCAGTCCTTTGTGAAGAGAAAGGTAAAAATATACCAATCTCTTGGTCATCGTTAGGAAGATAGGGTGCTAATATAAGGTCTTTTCTCCTCAATAAGTAAAACAATTGAAAATGACTGAGTATCTCCAACCGGTCCTCTTAGTATACATTGGAAACAACGGCAGCCAAATTAGTACTATGCTTCCGAATATGCTGTGTAGTCACTAGGTTTTGTAGTCCTGCATCTGCTAGTTAGATCCCTTGCACTAGCTTACAAGTTTTCGTAACAATTCCAGGTCCGATTAATCTTGATGCTGTAACATTGTTCACTTAGCTTCTCTGACCAAGCCAAAACAGTGGATGGTTGGATTCAAATGGTTCATTTGGTTGCTGGTGGGAAAGAGAAAGCTTTCTCTTAATTGGCTCCTACGTCTGAAAGTCCTGGATCATACTTCTTATGGTTGTTTAACTGTGAACAAGTAAAGGAGAGCGAGAAGTGGCGGTTGTCGATTAAATCTGTGTAGAGGTGAGTTATGTGTCTTGTGGCTGTGGTGCATTACTTACCTGTAAATGCTGTGACATCAGAAACAGGCTCAAACCGTTCATTTTATAATGCCTCATACGCATTGTTCCTGTCCATACGAAGTCACATGATATGCCGAAAATCTGTACAGTAATTTCGAAATATCTTTCACAATAAAACCATCATTGTTAAATTCCAAAAGAACATGTTCACACTGTTCTTAGAAAGAGAATCCTTATTCGGGAGATGATCAAAGAAAGAAGAAGACACCGGAAGGCGAAAAAGTAGAAAAGTGTGCCTTAAATTCAGTGAGCTGTAAAGAAGCAAAGAGTATAAGACAGAGTTTCAGTGAACAGATTTAAATAACAGCAAGTAATATAGCAGGAAAAAATGAGACATTATTGGACGGGTAGTAATGATATTATTTATAGGGCGCTAACTCCGGAAGTAGGACGGCTAGTAAAGGGAAGAGATAGGTAGGTACTTAGTAGTGTGTGGAGGACTGTTTTGTCCATGATAATGATGGTGGTGAAGGCTAGTCAGTATGACCGTGTCAAAAATATTAATAGTATATTCAGAATAATGAACTATACGAACGCATGACGTTTTTGTAGTTAATATCTGAATGCTACTTTTCTCAGTGGAGCTGAGCAAGTTTAGGAAGAACAAATCATCACGCAATATGTGGTCTTTCGGAGTCAGCAGTTGTTTAGATATTCCTGGTCACAAATATCGGATGAAGGCCACCTCGTAAAACATCAGCGGCGAAAATGAGTACGGGTATAATCACTCATTATGAGCAGTATCCTGGCTGTAGTGAGTCTTCTAACCAGTAAGAATACACCGCGTATCGAATGTTGAGCACAAATAAAGCTGAAAATAAGTCGATATTCGATAAATTTGTACTGCCTACAGACAGCGTGAGAAACTGGAGTTAAATACAGGGATGGGCTGGAAGGAATTCGGGTGTGGTGTTGTGTGGTGTCATGCAGATTGTAGTCATTGTTTAGGTCCAGAGCCATTTAAATTAACTAAGCTAAAGTTGCAATTCTGTCCGGTAACCTTGGTCGTATTACGGAGGAGAATATATGGGGTTCCATCATCAAACCATTTCATCAGACTTCTCAGTTGGCGCTATATATGAGACCAAGGTTAGTTAGCCTCTTCCAGGAGAGTGATTGCCAGGGCTCGAAGAACCTGCATATTTGGGTGCAAGCGGCATTTGTCACCGACATTTCTAGATGTAGTCCTAGTTGTAACCATAGGCGTTGCGGGGAGTTTAGTCTTGAATGGACTAATGCGATGTCAGGTAGCCGCCTTAGACTAGTCCATATCTCGACTGGGAAAGCGTGGCCTACGCGTCTCCACATGGCTGTCCAAACCTTTCTTGAGGCTATCAAAGCGTGAAGCAGTGATGCGTTACGGCAGGCGCAGACCATGAGGGAGACAGACCGCATACACTTCCTCGTCCTGTGGGGATCCCTGTTTTTGCAGTCGGGTAATACCCCAGGGTTCGGGTGACCAGACCCTCCGCTGTGGTGTTGACATTGATGCACACCACAGCTGGATTAGAATCCCCTCGACAGATCAGAATTTTGGAAAAAATTTATCTGGCATTGATCCCCGTCGGTGGCAGTTCATGACACTTCGCCTACTCACAGATTGTTTTGGTGCCATCTCGTGATGCGTTCGAGCCGCCTTCGAATCTTACAGCTCCTCGCTACTCAAGGTACCAGTGTACAGTAGAGCTCATGATCTGAAACTTCATGGACGGATATCCGCAGACAGTTGGATCAACAACGGGCCTAGAATGGTGCTCCGCGGTACACCAGACGGTGATGCCTTCCAAGTTAGGCACATCATTTCAGCCCCCACACAGACTGCTCTGCCGTCAGAATGTTCTTTTGAATCAGGGTGGCAACTAGCCATTTATACGTAGCTGCGCAATTTTCAGCATAGGGACGGTGGGTGGGACCGTGTGGGAAGCCTAGTCCGAGTGCCAACAATCATATGAGCATTTAGTTAGGGTTTCCATCGTGCTATCTATGAGTCAAAGGTTGCCAGGCGTCTCAATGTGAAGTAGCCATCTTCGCGGAAACCGCTGTGCAGTGCGTCCTTTCTTTCCAGATGTTCTCTGGCGTGGTCGTCTATCAGCCTTTCTATGACTTTTGATGATACACTAGAGGTGCTGCAGATTGGTAGAACTTCTGCAACTGTCCGTCCCCTGCATTTCACATCCTGGAGATTCCTCTGGATGAGGCTTGACGACTTTTCAACAGGTCTACTTGAAGCTACGTCCTGTGCACCAGATGTCGCGGTAAGCCCCCAGAATGTTGATGCAAGTAATTTGCTAATAGTTCGTTGCCCTGTGTCAAGAGTGGTCCCGCACCTTTCAGCGATTTCAAGCGCAGAGGATGTATCCCCACGCGGTTCTGCGAGAACGCACATTCTGCAGCCGGCAGCGTTTCTTTTCACCACAATGCGATATGGGTTCTTGGAATCTGCCTGACGTCTCCGTGAGTGTTGTATCAGGAACAACCCCTCCCATGTTGGTGTTGCAACCATTCCTGACAGCTGTGATTTGGCTGGAGATATGGATGCAACAACCAACCACATACCTCCTAGGTTAGATGACACTTGGGAGTTCTCGCCGATCCGTGACTTCGGTCCAGGGTACGTTTGAGAATGATTGTGGTGACCTACTTTATCGACAACATCGCAAAAACTTTGATTGTGGCTGGCACCCTATGGCCTGGAGATAGCTTCACTCACAGGAGTAAAGGTACTAGCGTTAGAAATGGCGCGCGAAATCCTTATGCTTATCGCTGCCCCAATGGTCATGTTTTGGATGATATCATCCTGGATTATGGTACGTGCCGTGCAACACCTGGGCCGTTTGGCTATCGATTCTTTCCGTTCGATATTCAACGCTAGAATTAAGTCAAGGAAACAACCACGCGTTTCACATAGAAATTAGAAACGGTCCACCTCATCCATTTGACAGATATACTCCCTACCCTAATCCTGGGTTGCAAGATGACAGGGATTCTCTGTTGAACCCACGCGGATTGGTAGTGATGCACTTAGTGCTAGACCCGAGCGTCCACTTCAGCCTCCTGTTTCAGATTGTGACGAGTATCTTCGAACGGGTCTACCTTCACCTCTATCGTATGATCGTCCGTCTGGCGTGGCCCCTATGGGATTTGACCATGCACTTCGTGCCCATCTGCCTACTCCAGGAGCTAGAACAAAAACTATCTTCGATAAATTTTATGGGATGTGGGTTCCGGAGTGATGCAACACAGTAGAGGAAGACTCACTGTGATATGCTACTGGACACATGCTTACCGTGTTGACAACGTGAGATTCGTATGACTGAGCTCTCAGCTTTGATGACCGCCCCCATGAAGGGGATGTTACAAAGCAGTAAGCTTATCTTTATGCGAAAACAAGCGTCATTGCGGTTTAAACCGAAACAGGCACGTTCGTCTCTCCATGTAGAGGCCATTTCCAAGGGTGAGATGCTTATTCGTCTGTGTTCTGATATTAGTGGGGTTGAAAATGGTTACTGTGTTAGACTAGCAAGGCCCCATGACAGTGATCCACGCTAGTGCTCATCACATTCAAGTTCTCCTGAAAGTTTCACACTAGGTGCGGGAAGATCAAAGTGCGGTAATTCCTACTACTGCAGTTGTCCCTGATCTCCTGTTTCTTTTGATGATCACCATGATTCATCCCGGAGATTCTCTCCACCCATGGATCAGTTTGAATGGGATGAAGTGAATAACGGGACACGATCATCAAAAGACCATCATCATGAAGTGAATGGAATGCATGCTTTGAACTGGATCGTCAGGAAGCCGACGATTGGTGAGTTACGGATTCAGGTATGCAGATAGAGCCACGACCGAATGCATTTTACGGGGTCTTTGGGTGGCTGGAGAGATTTAGGAGGCCGGTGTAATGGAAAAAATCATTCGAAAATCCTTCCCTAGCACTCTATTCGACAGTGATGATATTTACTTGTATGTTTTTTACCCCTATTGTGGATATTATGCATTTGACCCTAATGATGCAATATTATTTTGTCATTTGCCTGTCTTCTTTGACTTTACTTTGACCATTTGTCTTTGTTATGATTGGGACTTAGCATGAATGCTTCAGTTCGCTTTTGTGTGGTCCTGTACTGCTGACAAAGTGGAAGTGTTTCACTGCTCCCGACATTTTGCTTTGGATTAACTTGCGCTGTGAATTGACTG